CACCTTAATTACATCTGCAAAATCTTTTCACAGCAGCATCCAGAATGGTGTCTGAATAACTGAGGTATGTGTACATGAGGGGGTTGGTTGGGAACCTTAGGGACCATAAGATCCTGCCTAACACATTCCTAAGCATAGGCAAACTCAGTCACAAGACTGAGCAGTGATTTTTAGTGGCTCTGCTGCATTTAACACTTGACCCATTGTTATTTCTCTACTCAATTTATATTTGAATGACAATCTGTTGAGTATCTGAAAGGTCAAGAGACATGAGTTTTAGAAAAGTGGCATATTTTTGCCCTGTGCTCTTAGAATACCTCTGAATGATGTGTGCAATTATGTGTCTTTCACCTCTGACTCTGTACCCCAACACCTATATAATCACTGGATCAAGGCAAGGATTTAATCTGTCACTTTAAAAAACAACTGTTTCCACTCAGAATTGCTTATTATTCCTTTCTTCAAGATTTGAGTGATGTCAGGTTGATCAATGTAGTCTTGGTGATAAATCAGTTGAAGCCAGGTCTGGTGTGAGGGAATACTTGAAAATGTACTTGCCCTGAACATATATTTAAGAGAATTATATTTTATGTTGTTAAGTCAACTGGTTTTAATTGAGGAAATTCCTACTTTGGACACTGTGAGGCTGAGAAACCAGCAATAAAAAGGAGCAATGAGCCAATATTAATGCAGGGTGGAGGTGAAGGGCAAATCAGGATTGAGATGTTCAGTTTCCAGGGTTACCAGAAACCAATGTCTCTAGAAAAACTCAGCCAGCTTTCATCTGAGAACTTCTGAGATTGGCTTGCATTTGGAACCCAGTAGGGCTGCCAGCAAAACAGTTCAGCAATTCATCTAGGAAAAAAGAAATCTCTTATCCCACTCTATCAAGATCCCTGGGGTGAGGAGCGTCAATTTATTTGGGTCCTTTAATAGTCACATATACTGCTAGCTCTATGTGTGATGCAAGATTAATCAATGTAATACACAAGGGGAGTAAGAGATGGTATGTTATCTTCAAATGCCAGTTTATATGCACAGTGTAAAGCTTAAGCAAACAGATACCTTGAAAACTGATAGAAATGCCAGTGTTTACGTGTGTATTCACACTTTGGTTTCTGGTTCCCAAGGAAAACTGTAAGAATATTTTTGTACTTTTTCTCTCTTCTTCCTACTACGGGAATTATAAACCTTCAGAGACTCATTTCCATGCAGTAAAAGGATTTTAAAGTTCGTAAGTCATAATTAAGTTGGCATCCTTACACTACTGATTTTTGAGTCTTTTTTCTGTTCACCTCATGTCATCCACAATATAAAGGAAGAAAATGAGGAAAATATATGTACTTTCTATATTGTAGGATTAAAGAGATGTCTTTTCCCCGAAACCTTTCAGTGAAGATCAGATTCATCCCTAAAACTCACTAGGATTTTTGTTTTAGCAAAGATAGAAATCAAATTTTGGAGCATATTAAAAAAAAAAAAAAGAAAAAGAAAAACAACCTATTTGATTAGAAATTCTAACCTTTTTTATTTTGCTTTTTCCTACTTAACAGCCTACAGACATGACAGAATGATATTTTGGTCATACCCAGTTGAAGCACTCCTCCAAATTGGGGAAAACCAAATACAACCGGTGAGCAAGAAAATATATTTAGAAAAAGCTCATATTACGTATTTACACATAAAATTTAAGAAAAACATCAAAGGAATGTTGTAATTATGGCACATCTCATTTTATTTCATTTTACTACACTTTACAGAGACTGCATTTTTTAATAAATTGAGTTTGTAGCAACCCTAACATGATCAAGTCTATCAGTGTCTTTCTCCAACATCATGATCTCAGTGTCTGAGTCATGTTAAGGTAAATCTCACAATATCTCATACTTTTTCATTATTGCATCTGTTATGGTGATACGTGATCAGCAGTGATCTTTGATGTTAATGTGTAATTGCTCTGAGGTACCACTAATCATACCTATATAAGATGGTAAACTAAATTAAAAAACCTGTTTTTACTGTTTCAAAAACTAGCTATTCCCCAACTTTCTTCCTCTCCTAGGGGCTTGATATTAATTAGTAACCAAAGACACTGAAGTGAAGTCACATATTTCTCACTTTCTATCAAGTCAGAAATTACTAAGCTTTATAAGGAAGCTAATGTTGACAACTAGGTCAGGCAGAAAGCTAGGTCATCTTGTACCAAGCTTTTAGCGAAACTATGAATGTAAGGAAAAAGTCTTGAAAGAAATTTGAAAAGGATACATCAGTGAACATAATGAGAAGATAGAATAGCCTTCCTGACAGGAAGTTTTGACTGGATAGGTTGGCCTATGCCTATAATATTCCTATAACCTCAGCACTCTTGGAGGTTGAGGCAAGAGAATCACAACTTTAAGCCCAACCAACCAATTCAGTAACTTAGTACAATCATGTCTGAAAACATTTAAAAGTACTTGGACATAGCTCAAATGGCCATATTTTCATAAGTCATAACTCAATCTATAGTAAAGCTGTCCTCTCAATTCTGTGAGCTGTAGAACATAACATTGAAACTAGCAGAGATTTACTGAGGGGTTGTAAGGAAGCTATTTCTATAATGTACAAGTGCAACTTGAAGGAGCCAGTGCTGACACAGAAATTACAGCAAGTTATTTAGATCTCAGATCACTGATGAAGGTAGTTATAGTAAACAAGGTATTTTCAGTGTAAACAAGAATAACCTTATATTGGGAAAAGATGCATCTGGGACTTTCATAGACGAAGAGAAGTCAACCGCAGCTCAAAGCTTCAAAGGACAGGCTGAGTCTTTTGTTAGGGGTTAACGTAGCCGGTGACTTGAAGCCAACTTACTTACAATTCTGAGTCTTCTGGGAATTTTGAGAATTACACTAAATCTATTCTATGCTCTATAAGTGCAACACATGGATGATAGTACATCTACTTACAAGGTGTTTCAGTGAATATTTTAAGTTTACTTTTGAGACCTACTGCTCAGGAAAAAACGATACTATTCAAATTATGGCTTATTCATAGTGCCTTTGGTAACTCAAGAGCTCTGATGGAGACACATAAGACTGTTTTCATGTCTGCTAACAATGTACATTAGCCCATACATCAATAATTCTGATCTTCAAGTTTTATTAACACATTTCATAAGGCTATAATTTGCCATAGTGATTCTTCTAATGGATCTGGGCAAGGTAAATTGAAAAGTTTCTGGAAAAGATTCATAATTCTAGATGCCACTAACATCATTTGTTATTCATGAAAGGAGGCCAAAAGATCAACAATATGTAAGAGGTTAATTCCAACCCTTACAACTTGGAAGGGTTCAAGACTTCAGTACTGCAGATGTGGTAGAAATAGCGAGAGAACTAGAATTAGATATAGAGCCTGTAAATGTGACTGAATTGCTACAATCTATCACACAATTTTAACAATAAGGAATTGCTTCTGATGGATGAGCAAAGAAAGCGCTTCTCTATAATGATGCTACAAACACTGCTGAAATGACAACGGATCTGCTACATTACACATTCTTAATTGATAAAACGGTGGCATAGTAGAAGAGGACTGCCTCCATTTTGAAGAAGCTCTGATGTGAGAAAGAGAAATATACACTGCATGCTATAGAATAAGCTTTTTGTGAAAGAAACAAATGATGTGTAGTTCATTAGTGTTTTATTTTTAAGAACTGTTACAGCCACCCCAATTTTCAGCAATTACCATCTCAATCAGTCAACAACTATTAATAAGGCAAGATCATTCACCAGCAAAAAGATTACAACTTACAAAAGGCCAAGATGACTTTAAGCATTTTTTAGTAATATATTTAATGCTTTTAGACACACTATTGCCCTTGTGAACCAGCAATACAGTGTATATGTAACTTGTGGATGCTATGGAAACCAAAGAATTCACACATCACTTTATCACAGTGGTCTAAACCCAACCCACAGCACCAGGGCTGCTATATATAAGTTTAAGAAGAATTAACATTAAGTTAGGCTTTGGTGATTTTGGCTTAACCTAAGAAAACAATCAGATTACAACTGTCCATTACCAGAATGGTTTGCTTTCTAAAATTTGGACAACTTGTCTTCATCTGTATCGTATGGAATGGCCATGTGTGACCAGATTTGGTCTATGATCCCTACCAATTTAAAATTTACACATTCATTAAAGGGTTAAGCACTTCTACATACTACAACAAAGTTAATAGCCTTAAAGGTGCTACTTGCTCAACATGACATTCTAAACTTAATTTTGACAGCTAAACTTGAGTTCATCTTCCTTTTAAAAAATACCTACCTATACTTTTATAGATAACTCAGTTACTGAGAAAAAAAAAAAACAAAAACACTAGTATCAAGCACTGACTTTCCTTAGAAACGAATTCTGAGTCTATATCTTAAAAGCCTCTTAATTTCATCATAGAAATATTCTGGTACTTGAGAAAATAGAACAAAAGTCTTTTGTTTTTACTAGATTCTGAACTCAACTACTTTGGCAGTTAAGTCTTTATTGTATGCTGGAACTTGTAACTGAATCATAAAAAGTTAATTCTTGCTTTCTTGGAGTCATCCTAGTTCTGAAAGACTAGAATAAGCAAACAAGCAAGTCCTAGCTTCAACACTGACTTGAATGAAATCACTTGGACTCTTGCATTTTAAGGTTTATTACTGAAATAATGAATCGGTCTAGTTGTGACGCTCTCATGAGGTGATGGTCTGACAATGCCTTGGAAAGTATGAACAGTATTCAAATTTAGTTCTGCATGCAGTCCTAGGGTTAGACCCAATTATAGGAGAATCAAAAAGAACTACTTATAATAGCTCACTCCCCATTGGTTTATAAATTCTATTTTATAAAACATTATAATTTAAATTATATTTAAGAATAATCTAAACTATACTTTGTCCAGGAAACAGGGCCATTTTCCTAGGATTTATTGGTTCCCATGTAACTTGAGAAAAAAGCCACACATACTCACAGGCAAAGAATGACAACCAATGTTTTTAATGTCCTTTCAGTCTTGTAGCATCCGAAATAGTGAAGTCTATCCATATTTGTGTATGTCCAGAAAATTCATAAACCTCATGCTTGATCTATGTCAGTGGGCCAGGGACAGAACAGGACTTCACTGATGGTACTTCAAGCAACGCGGTAGCCCTTCCCCTTCGGGTCTGTCAGGATAATTATACCCCAACAGCCAATGCCTAGGAAAAAACAACAGTGTCCCATATTTAGTTTACTAGGTGCTTCATACAAATCATCTTATTTAACCCTCAAACTTCTGGAAACTGTACTACCACTACATCTTGCTTAGAGGAGCTTAGAGAAAAGAAAAGTTCAGAAAGCCAAAAGAGCAGCCCATTCCCCTCTCCCCCACGCACACACATCAATTAACGAAAGTAACCGACTTAGACAACCTAGTTAATTAAGAAATTGGAAAACTGAAAATTTTACATACTCTAACAAATTGGAAAAGCTACAAGAATCACGCCTTCTTATTGGAAGGTATCCTGACAATCACTTAATGATCTATCAATCAGAAATGTGTGCATCAGAGTGGTACATTAAGTATGAGGCTTTGAACTCACATCTAAAACAGGGTCTCAAAGCTTAGTTTCTTAAATCAAGGTAAAGTGCTCGTGCTCTGGCTTTCTCCAGGATCTGGAGAAAAACCACCGACTTTGGGGCAGGGCAGTATGAAAAGCCAAATCTGTCACTTCCTAACTAACTGATCTCTCTGCTTCAGTTTGGTCATTAGAAAAACGTTTTCTGTTGTTTTTTTTTCAGGCGCTCCAACAACTTCTGCCCGCGTCTGCACTTCACGCGAGGTGCCCCCGCCACGTGACACTCCCGCGCGCCTCAACCCTACCCACGTGGCTGCTTCTTTCCCTCCTCTCCCCACCGCCCAGACCCAGTGGCTGCCCGGCTCTCACAGATGCCGATGGTCATTTTTGCAATAGTCCCGGGACCCGGGGCGTATCCCAGCTTCAAGGGCCTCCGCGCCACTAAGTACACGTAAGCGCCCGCCCCTATCAGCCCAAACCCGGACAGGAGGCGACAGCTCCAGCAGCTTTTAAGCAACAACGGGGTTTGCACCGGAGAGAGCGGCACTTCCGAAGCATCGGGTGCCGCAGGGTTGGTAGAGCGGGAGCCTTCACGAGGGACAGGGAGCTTCGAAGGATCTAAAGAGTCAAGTGGCCGGGTAAGCGAAGAACCCATATTCCGGATCCCGGCCCCGCCGTAAGAGCCTTCGCTGAGATCTAACGTAAAAGCAGCCGGAAAGCAGAGCGCCGGAGCGTTGCGCCAGAAGGAGCCCCGGGCCTGCAGGGAAATGTAGTTCTAATCTACGTCGAAAGAGACCAGGGAGGCGGAGCTATTGTACACTTCTGCTACAGCAACCAATTGGGTGGCAGAGACTGAACCAGTCCCAAACCCTTATTGTTTTAAGGGTATTGTCTTCGTTTGCTTTCTAAATGTCTCAACCTAAAGCCGCCTTTGAAAAGAAATGTGAGTCTCTTAAGATTTGTGCCTAATGCAGACTGTTAGGTACGGGCATATTGCTTCGCCTGCCTTAGGCCTGTGAATTAAAAAGTTGTTTTATATATTCTTAACTAGATTATATCCTAGATACTTTGCTAACCAGTTATCTGCATGATGCCATTTCTTAACTCAGTGCGGCAGTTTTCTGCGTACATAGCTAATCTGGTTAAATGATATAGACATAGTTAAAACAATTTCTGTGGAGTCAAATCTCTTGAACTGTACAGCACATATTGTGAAAAGAAATATGCAAATGTGATTAAGGTATTAAAAATTGATTTGAATTACCTGGCTAAATACTTTCGATATCTTGATCTTTATTTTTAAAGACATGCTATCAATTTGATCATATACATAGTATTTTTTCTTTGAGACCCCTGTAGAAAGTTCAATTCAAAATCAGATTCATAGATTTGAGGAGTTAAAGTTAAGACTTATTCTTGCAAGTTTAAATCTTATCATCCAATACAATGACCTTTCATCCTGATTGCATCTTTGCAAGTCAACTTCTGTATCATACATGACCAACTCATTTCACCTTTCATTTTCTTTGGATAAAGCCCGGGGTGAATCTTGTGCCTGGCTGGCCTCAGGGGATTACTGGTAAGAAAGACATTTAGACTTTAAAGATTGTTTCTGTTAGAAGAAATGGATAAAACAGAACTACAATTCCCAACTTTTTCTCCTTTAGATTAGCTTAAAGATTAACATGATGAAAGGAAATACACTATGCCAAGTTGTAAAACAGGATATAACGTTTGAGAAGGCTGAAAAGGGCAAAAATAAAGGCATGAAGAGACAGATAAAAATAAAATAGAACACTGGGTTGGCCTACTACTTATTTTCAAAGATGCCTGTCCATATATATATATATATATATATATATATAGAGAGAGAGAGAGAGAGAGAGGTGATATAGCTATACTTACCTCTGAATATCTATGTGTATATTTTCTGTAAATATTTAGCCATAGTTTTATATATATATATATATATATATATATATATATATATAAATATATATCCATATGTTACGTTTCAGAAAAACAAACGTTTGGGAAATTTGGCTTTATCACTGTGAGCCAACCATGGAACACAGATAATATTAGCCTTTCTGATCCTCAGTTACCTCCTGTATAAAGTGAGACTTGGACTAGGTGGTTTCTTGCTGATTTAAAAATGTTATTATTAAGAACATCTCTTCCATTAACACTGTGCTCTGGCTTTCTTCAGGATCTGGGAAAAAACTACTGACTTTGTAGCAAGACATATTATACAAATTCAATAGTATTTCACTTAGAAATTCATAGTTTGTGGCTTCTCGCTATATCTGATATAACATTCTATTCTGTATGTAATTTCTTCTTTATATGTAGAAAATCACCATTTGACAGTGTTTACCAAACACTGAGATCACATACCCCTATAGATTTAAAAAAAGGTTAAGATCATACTAGCATTTATTCCATATAAACATTTGACATGGTTTGATTATTTTGACAAAACAGTTCCAAACCCTTTCTTTCTAGGTTTGTGTTAATTAAAATTTTGAGTTAATTTAGGAAAAATTGACATCTTTCTAATGTTGTCTCATCTAAGGACATGGAATGCCTTTTCTCTTGTTCGCATACTCTTTTGGATTTCTGTGTAACATTCTTTCAGACACTTTATCCTTTAGGTTGCTCTTGAAAGTAAGGGATTGTTTTCCTATTGTACCTTGTTATTGTTAAGTATAAGAAGGCTCCTTATTTCCATAAATCCTAATATTGAATAATCAATGCAGTGTTGATTAAGCTTAACTGTCAACTTGATTGGCCTTGAGATGCCTAAAGGAATAATAAAGCACACTTGTGATGTATCTGGTGGGTCATGGAGGTGTGGGCGTGGAGTCTCCATCTGGTCCCTGGCCCCTTCCTTTGTGTTACTTTTCTTCTGTGCTCTGTTGCCTGGTCACCATGCACTCAACAGGTTTGCTGCACCACACTCTTCTGCCATGATATATCTGCCTTTGTAGGTGGAAACACATCCTGCTTTCAGATATAGGTGTCAGCTAAGGGAAAGCTGGCTAATATAAGAGCATTTTGGTAACCCTCTGAAATATTGCCAACAGTTCTGTTTTTTATTCAATCCTTGGTGACTTGGAGGTTTATTCATTACATACCTTTTTCAGAAAAACAATTTGGAAACATGTTTTCTTTTTTGTACTCTGAGTCAATTTAAATACAAAATTGTAATTTACTTTTTAAAAAAATGTTTTGCACAACTACCCTGTGAAATTGTCAGTTCATGCTTTTTTTTGGGGGGGGAGAAAAGAAATTTCTTTGACACTTTGCAGTTTTGAAAACTGAATTTTCTGTTGGCAATAGTTTTGGTAAATTATGAGTTTCTGAATGCTGTCTATTTAATACTAATTTTCAAGTTAGTTTGCACTGAATTCAGAAAAAAAATTGCATGGAATTCCTTTATTTATTTATTCAGAGGCAGTATCTTTCTATATAGCCCAGGCTGGCCTCAGTCTCCCAAGTGCTAGGATCATAGGTGTGTACCACCACACCTGGACCATTTTTTATTCTTCATTATATATTTTTTTACTTCTCTTTATTTTCTTAATAAGAATCTGTGAAATAAAAAATCATGCAGGCCCTACACACCTGGATCTGGCCCTGTGCAAGTCTGCAGGGACTGGATCTTAACTTGTGTGTGTCCTCTCTGGCTGGACAGCAGTGCCCAGTGCGTGTACGCTGAGAAGGAGGTGTCACCTCTATTTCTGGCCTGTTCAGCACCTCAAATGCTCCATGTGGAGTCAGGTGCCAAAGGATGTCAGATAGGCTGAATTCGTGTTTCCCAAAGTCGAGAATGAATTCTAAGGAGGTTAAGAGAAGAAAAATTGGGGGGGGGGGGATAGGAATAGCACCTGAGAGACAGGAGGGGCTCTAAATACATTGCCCTCCTTTTATTAATCTGTTATATACCTTATTTGGGAAAAGAAACTTTTCATGCAATTAAATTAAGGATAGTGAGATCAATTATGATCAATTATTGGGTAAGGTCCTATATTTAATCCCAAGTATCCTTATGAAAGACAAGCAGAGAGTGAATATATACAGAAGAGAAGGCATTGTGACTGCGGAAGCAGAGATGGGGTCACATACATACAAGTCAAGGATGTTGGCAGCCGCCCTACGCTGGGAGAGGTGAGGAACAAATTACCCCCAAAAAACCTCCCGAGGGGACTTGACCCAAGTGACACCTTGATTTTGGATTCTGGCTTCTAGAATTATAATAGAATAAATTTTTGTTATTTTAAGCCATTAAGTTTGTGAAAAATTGGTACAATAGCTATAGAAAACTAATACATGCACTTCATTAAACTTTTCTGTGCTCTGCATTGATGAGCCCTAGCTAAGACAGCAAAGTATCACTTCTTGGTATATTCTTTCCTCTGTCTTTCTGTCTTTCTGTCTTTTTCTTTCTTTCTTTCTTTCTTTCTTTCTTTCTTTCTTTCTTTCTTTCTTCCTAGGTTTTTGAGTTACTCCATTCCATTGTTTTATGACCCTGACTATTGCTGTAGAGGATTCTGAAACCAGAGCAACTCATTTTTAATGTATGTGACAAGATATTTTTGCCTGAGTGTCCAAATCATTTTCTTTCCTCCTCCCTTCTTATATTTAAGGAACTCCACCTTAAATACGTAATTTTTGTCTGCTCATTTGTAAGTGGAGATCTTTGAAAACATCATTTCTAGTGTATGATTCTCCTGACTTATTCTTCCTACTGAAATAAAAAATGGATCCTTTAAAACATTCCCCTAAGTTTCTATGGTGAGCCTCAATTTCTAAGAAAGAAAGAGACTTGAGCTTGTGATTTCCACAGCAGAGGGATGAGGGCTACATCTTTCTCCAAAGTCTGTTGGACTTCGTTTGCATATGATTTTTGCCACCCCTCCAGAAAGTGCAGTCGCTGCTCCATATGAGGATCCTTTTATCATTCCAATGATAAATGGGCTTGTCTGTACCATGTCAGCTCATAGGTTCAGAAAGATATATGATCACCCTTCTGTGACAAGAAATAGCCTCTACATGTTTCCCTGAAACAAATAGTCTGTTTTTCTTCTTTGTTGATGAGTGTGTTTGAGAGAATCTTCATTTTTCCTAAGGGTATTAGGGTGGACAGTGGCTGCAGTGGTGGGCTGTGGATCAGGAACATGGAGGAGGAATATCAAGAGAATGTGCCATGCTGTGGCTCCTTCCTTATGCCCTGGGAGCCTAAAGTGGCCACCCCACTTCTTCTTCTTGTGCTATTGCCCATATTGGCCTGTCCTTTTGATATTTGCTCTATCCCCATTTTCTTGAGAAATTCCAAAAGTATATACTACTATATATGCTTTACTTTTTCATTAATTCTTTTCATATTTATTGCTTGATACATTTATGGAAATGCCTTTTCTCTTTCATAGTCCTGTTTCTATCCTTGTAACGTAATGTAATGGTCTCATTTTTTTCCTCTAAGGCTTTTATTAAGCTCTGACAACTTGTATTTTATCTTCTCCTGCTATCTCATTCCTGAGATCTTTTATTTGTGCTTTGAACTCTTGCTTCATAGATTTGATTAATCCCTAATGGGTTTAAAATTTGAGAAGAAATTTTGATCATGATTCTTATGTGATCTATGTTCGTATTTTTCTGCAATGATTTGTCATGCATCCACCATTTATTTTTCTTTTTTCCTATTACTTCCCTATTTTTTCTACATCTTTGACTGTCCTACTTTCGTTCTTTTAAAATTAAACATGTTCTAAAGGGCGAATTTTTCTCTAGCTACCAGGAAGGGATTTGATTAGACAGCTGAAACTGAGTTTCAGGCCAGCTGAGTCAAGGAGTGGTCAGGGGGTGGTGTGTGTGTTCACTTGGTCTCCTTGTCCAACAATGGAACGGCAGTTTTCAAAGTCTTTGCTTCTACACTGCCAAAGAGACCATGTGCTTCCCTTATATATGGCTTCTTGATGGGTTTTCTCTTCACTGTTGTCTTTTTTATTTTCCTTTCCTGGGTCAGAGCTGAGTCTATGAAATCTAGGCATTTAGGTTTTGCAACTTGAAGTACACTCTTCACCTCCAAGAATTATATAGTAGTAGTTCTGTAATCTGCAGCTTCAGTGCCTTTTCTCTGATATTTCCTTTCTTCAGCACATGCTTGCATAATCACCATGGCTATAGTGAGTTCAGGTGTACATACTGCAACGGAGCGTAATTAGAATTAGCAGATACTACTCTTAACCTACAGATGTGCATATTGCACTAGAGGCTCAACTGCCTCCATCTCTTGTAATTCGAGTGAGCAAACACTACTCATGACCTGTGTTAGTTATACAGAGTTAGAAATAAAACTTTAGTATATTTGGTAATGTAAAGCTGCTTGTTACTTTAACAAATTTCCCCTATTTTTGAGACAGAAGAGAAACACCTGCCTCTCCTACTTTTCCCATGCTGGTTGGAAGGGACATGACTTAGCCTGAAGCAGCTATGGCTCCTCTACCCTTCACTTCCCTTGCCTGTCCTCTTACCAGCAATGTACTGGAGGACTTGCTGAAGTGTCCTGCCAGCTTATTTAGAATACATTCTACTGTGGGCTGTTCCAATCAAAATGAATGCAGCTTGGCTCTCCTCTGCTCCTGTCACTGCAGATGTTGCTGCTGCCTCATTGAAGAAGGTTGTGGTGGGTGGTGGTAGTGGTGGTGGTGGCGTGTCTTAATGTAGCTAATATCAGGGAGGGAGATATATGGGTCCATTATTTACATTTCCAACCTCCTAAAAAGCCATGTAGCTGTGATAAATGCAGTTAGTCTTCATGAGAATTTTCTGGTTATAGCCCTATCATTTTCCTCAGGGACCCAAAGGTTTGTGAAATAGCTCACGTACTCCCACTCCTCCATCATGACAGCTGTGCTTGTCCTGGAGCCCTGCATCCTCTTGGACTAATCACAGTTCTGTACTTAGACCAGTCAGCAAGCTTATATTTCAACCAATTGCAGGCCTGCACTTGGACCAATCACAGGCCTGCAGCTGCTATATAAGCAGTACTCTCTCTATATTTCTTGGGTCAGTCCGAAGGGTTCCCTTCAGTGTACTGACCCCTTCCCTGTCCCATGCTGCGTCACAGACCTGTTAAAATAATGACTGGTTTGGTAATCTTATTAATTTGCTTGCCAAAAGTTCTGTAAATCTACTCAGGACTTTTATTAAGAGTAGTGTGGACTGTGTAGACCTGTCAAAAGAAAAAGCAATAAACATGGGCTGTTTGCCCTGAAGAGCTCCAGAGAACAGTATCCAGTGAAGAAGAGCAGCAGACATCAGCATCCAGCAGAGTCGACCTATGTATGGTGCCAGCAGTGGTGGGCACTGGCTGGCATCTATATTCACCACAGCCAGTGGGTCAACTGTTGGTATCCAGCACTATCCAGGTGTCATCTGGTGTCATCAGGGCTACCAGCAGAGCTATACTTTGCCAGTTCATGGTTTTCATCTGAATCCAGCAGAAGAACCTTCAACAAACAGGCAGCATTTTGACTCATACTGTTGCTCACAACTGGAATTTCTACCCTCAAGAGCATTTTGAAATCCGGGAAACATTTTTGGTTACCTCAGTGGCAGTGTACAGGGGCCAAGGGTACTAAATCTGTAGTAATGCTTACAACAGACCTACTCAATAAAGACTGCTTTGCCGGAAATGTCGATAGTATCCTCTATGAAAAATTCATTAATTAACTTTACAAGTATAGCCATGTTACTTTCCTGAAATTAATGCCTGCTTCTAAATCCTTCCCCCAAACAGATATTTTTAGTGTCACTTACTGTCTTCTATTTTAGGTAATTCACATAAGTAATATATATATATATATATATATATATATATATATCCATAATATATTTCTAAATATACTATCTAGGCATAATTTCTCTATATATAAATATCATATATTGCTAAATATAATATCTATGAATGGACTATTAGAGTACATTCATTTTTGAAACATTCTCATATTGTCCAGAAAGGTACCTTAGATCAAACTGGTACTCAGTAAATGCCTATGTATTTCATTAGACCGATACGTTATCGAGAGTCCATGGTTGATGAAGTGCTTTCTGTATCCTGAGTGCACATTAGTAAATTCAGGGTTCCCCTTTTGTTTTCTGTAGTTTGAACTGACAAGAAACTTGAAAAATAAACAATTGAAAAAGACATTCCCTAAAGGTAACCATCAAGTGTAATAAGGCTCAAATCAAATGGCCCAGCTGTCACAGTAAAATACAGCCTATTGACTTCCTTCTCACTAGGGAAAAGCACTGTGTGCCACTTACTACAGACAGCATGGAGAGAAAGTATTACCCTGAGAACTGCAGGAGGGACTGCCCTGTGCGGCAGAGAGAAAGGAGCAAAATAAATCTGGCTTGTAGAAGATAACCACATGTTTTTATATAAAAAGTGAGAGGGTCATAATTATCCAACTTTAAGGGTCAGAAATAATAGCACCACAGTTAAAATCTAACTGAGGTAATCAACAGTTTTTTTTTTTTTTTAAATCACTAAACCTGAAATCATTAACCACCAACTAGGTACAAAATCCTCATGGAGAAGAGTCGAGAAGGGGTGACTTTTACAAAATGAGCAGGATAGAATCTGTCTTCAGACTTTCAGAGTCTTATCTGGAAACTAAGCCAATACAATAAAGAAATTCAGTATCTACAGACAAATGTTTTAAAGGAGGTGGTAAGAAAATTTAGTGTGATGTAGGAAAAAAAAGATTATTTTTAATTAGATGGATAAATGAGTTGAATTTAGAAGTAAGGAAGCTGTAACTTGACTCTTAAAAGAAGCTAATGTGAGTCACTATGTAAATAATGCTGAATCCCTTACCCCAAGCCAAGGTTAAGAGGTTCAATGATTAACACTAATAAATGGTTTGCAGTTAAGCAATACTGTTGTATACATTATTCATATTGCTGTATTACTATGAATTGGTGGTGTATGTGTTTAAATTCTGAAAAGTTGCAAGTGCTAATGCTTTAAAAATTGGGTTCCTGCAATAATTTCTCACTGATTCTTAACTTACAAGAGTGTGTATGCCTAGGATGTTTATGTCAAACAAAATGTATCTTCTGGATATTATTTCAGTCCAATGACACTGACCCTTTGCAATATCTTGTTACAGATAAAAACATAATTTAAAAACTTTTTGAATAAACTATGTTATAAATATGATGAAAAAAGTCATGCAGTCTAATACTAATATTTTTATTTTTTGAATTAAAAGAGTTCTCTGTGGCCTTTAAGCAGTATATTTCTTTTGGCTGTACAGTGTATAAATGCAGTTAAAAAGGAGGATAAGCTGTTGAAGTCTATGTCAATGAGCACAGCACTTAAGAATTCTGAGCCAAAAATAGTTCAATTATTTCAGTTCTTTCCATAACACTTACTCACTTCAGCAAGATACTTCTCTGCTCCCTTGCCCCTTATTACTGTCTTGAGGAAGGAACTCATATTGATCCTGCTTATAATCTCTTTAGGCCTGTTGGGTATTGTATGGGTGAACATCTGGGAATGTTGTTCTTTGCTGTCCAGCAAATCAACAGAAGAGATGGATCCCAGGTGTCTTGCAGCCCACCTAATCTTAAGCATTGCTGATACTAATTCACATAGCATCATACTGTCAAGTTAGATGACCCTGGGGAAGCTGCTGATGTGAAGCATAGATAGCCCAGGAGAGATAACTGCTCTTGGTGATAAAATACTATTTTCTTGGAATTTTAATTTATTCCAGAATTTCCTACCAGAGCATGCTTGGTCACTTACTGGGATTTGTGTAAAGCAGAAAGTACAAAAAAGGAAATTTGGTGAAAACATAAACTAACCTGTCTGTAGTGTTTTCCAGTTCATACATCATCTAGTAGTAGACTAGTACTAGTATAATGACATTAGGAATTCTTATCCTCATTTTAAAGATAGTAAATTGAGGTCCAGAAAGCTTAGGTATGTTGCTAAGTATTTAGTAGTGGGTAGAGATGTTGAAAACAAAACTAACCAAAAAACAAAAATCAACAAACTAACATTGTGCCAGAAATTGCATATATTCTACATATTGTGTAAGTTTAATTTTCATAACAACTTCTGACGATCTAACAGTAGTCCTATTTTTAATAAACAAATGAGGAACTAGGTCATAGAGACTGCTTAATTTAAGGCATAAATCCTATATTTCAACCTCCATTTGTAGGCTCTAGAACCTATTGAGATATCTGTCCACATATAATGCCAAAATAATGACTACAAAGTGCTTTTCACACTGTCTGGCACATCTGAAGCATTTAATAAAATGAGAGCTACTAGTAACTCATGAATTGCAATAATGCATTTCCTGCTATTTTATTATAAAGATTTCAGAAGGTTTGATACCTATGGTAGGAGTCATGGAACGCTAGATTCCATCGTGCTTTTCTTGATATGAGGCATCTTGTCAGATTGTAGATAAACTGAGGTTCACTGACAAAGTGTGACTTTTCTAAATTGACAAGGGGCAAGTAAGTCTGACAAGGTGTAGCAGAAAATTCCTATTGTGCTTGACTATGTGGCATCTTTTTACCTACCAAGCAACCTATGAGCTCACATTTTAAAAAGCTTTGCAATTTAACAAATGATTTCAAATACATTCTTTTAGTTATGCCTGTCAACAGATAAGGCTATTATTGCCCTTGTTTTATTAAAAAGAAAACCAAGATCCAAAATCACCCAACCAGGAGCCAAAACTAAGAGCAGATTCTCTGACTGGAGTTCAGTGCTTTTTGTCCTAAACATTGCTGCCTCGTATTTGCATTAAGATTTCCATCCTTTGATGAACCACCAGAGTCTGAAAATGTGAATGCAATGAAACATCACAGTGGGTAACTTTATGAAATGCATGAACAAAAAGAGAACTTTGGGGAGTTTAATACTGAAATCTTAAAAACTTCCTTCAATGAATACTCATCCAATACATATTTAGTTAGTTCCTGCATTGTGCATGATATTGTATTAAATTATTTTAGGTTTATAGTAAAGCAGGAACTAGAAATGTTGGGAAAAGCTTTCATCTCAAGATCACACATTGTTAGATGTAAACCATTTTATAAAAATCATGTCTGTATAATTTTTTATCTTATTTTACCAATTATGCTACAGTCAAATTTGTAAATGCAGCTGTGTCTTATTTGTTTTACATTTCATGTAATCCCTGGCCCTGCATTTTACCTTTTGAATGAATTAGTGGGATATAGAGTTGGGAACTCAGCTCTCCAGGAGCGTATGTACTATACTGAGAAATAAGATATGGAAATCAATGTAATAAAACATGAAATTAATACATGATTATTTCTAGTTGGGATGATAAGCAAAGCTTCATAGAAGAACATTTGTTTAATGACAGGTAAGTAATGAAGGTTTCTTGTTGTTTTACAGAGCAAGATGAATAAAGTAGTCTCATTAAAATAAGAAGCAGGAGATTTAAATCTTCCAGTATCTTGTAGAAGGGCTAAGGAGTCATTGAAAACAATTTTGATAAATGAATAAGTGGTTGAATCTTTCCAACAAAATGTTTAATATACTACACTTTAAACATGAAATGTTGTGCAGAAATACTGGTATTACTTGGAATCAGAGTAGAAATGTCAAAACACTCTGATCAAAGATCTTGCCATTTTCTGTTTTATTCTTCTAGAACAAAGAATCACAGAAATATCTTGGAGAGTATTTTATTCTTGTAGAGATTTAACAAGGCTGTATAATTCAGAGAAGCACTTTGAATGTATAATCAAACAGTAATATAAACATCCTTGAAAGATTGCATCATTCTTTGAAAGAGAGAACACCAAGCCAACAATCTTTGGTCATGTCCTCATTCCTAACTTACTCTTGGCAGTCTGGCTGTAAAAACAAGAATATGGGGTTTCCTGCTTCACCCTGAGTCTAGGTTACACTTCAGCCTGTGCATTAATCATTTGCTTTTATTTCCTTGCACAGAAAACTACTCACAGTGCCTCCTAGGTTATTCTCCGAGTGACGACTTTTATACCAACAATAAAAGGAGGCATTATTTACCATTAGGCATTTTCCATTGGATAGCCAATGACTCACAGAGCTTTTCTTTGCTTGAGAGTAAAATAATAATGCTTCTACCTGAAGTGTTTTTTATGTTTACTACATTTTACTCTGAATTCTAATTACTTTTAAAAAAACAAACATGAAGCATTAATTATGGAGGTGGGATTTCAGTTAGCTTTTAATTATAGCTATAAATAATAAACATGTTCAGTGGATTTTCCAAATATTATACTTTCACGGGATTTCTGTTAGAAATATTTTTTTTAAAAAATGATACAGAGAACAATATCAACAATGTTAACATGGCTAATATAAATTATTTAATAATTTTGATGATCCCATTTGAAACCCAGTAGATTCTCCCATTTGGAAGAATACCACACTTTGACTGGATGAGTACATAATTCAGTAATGTTGAAGTAATTTGAAACTTTGATATATAAAATAATGAATACTTATCAAATTATTTTCTAAATTAGC